TAGTTGAGGTCTACCTATGATGTCAATTACAGGCCTCTCCCATCTTTTTAAGTGGGAGAACTTGCACAATTGGTGACTGACTAAATACTTATGTCAGTAGGCATATTACTATCATAAAATACAGAAATATATTATTTGTATTGCAGATATTGATTTTTAGAGAATGTGGAAGTTTAACACGGTCTGTTCCTCTGCTCAGAAATAATAAAGGACGGGACATCAAGACCATCAAGTCACTGAGGGTCCTGCGTGTCCTCAGACCTCTAAAGACAATCAAGCGGCTTCCTAAACTCAAGGTCTGATATTGCCTTCAGGAAGGCAGTAATATAATGAACTCTGTTTGCCTGTTAGCAAAATACTTGATTAAACATTTTGGTTAATAAAGTTTAACCCCAAAAAACTTATGAAAATGAGATATTGTTGAAGAGAAATCTTTCTTTTTTAACATTCTAAACCTCTCTTGTCCTTCTCTTTCAGGCAGTGTTTGACTGTGTCGTGACGTCCCTAAAGAACGTCTTCAACATCCTGATCGTCTACAAGCTCTTTATGTTCATCTTTGCTGTCATTGCTGTGCAGCTTTTCAAGGGGAAGTTCTTCTACTGCACTGACAGCTCGAAGGACACACAGAAAGATTGCCAGTAATCCTTGTTTACCTTTTATTCTCAGACTTTAAATATAATACTTTTGTTTTCTTACTCTCACTTTAAACACAGGCAATAAAATTTCACCTTTCTTTTCTTTTCATCTGTCCCCTTCTCCTCCTTCAGGGGTTACTACATCGACTACGGGAAGGATAAGAAGGAGGTGAAGAAAAGAGACTGGAAAAGACACGAGTTTCACTACGACAATGTGATCTGGGCTCTGCTCACGCTCTTCACAGTTTCCACCGGAGAGGGTTGGCCGCAGTGAGTGTCAGACTGGAGTCAGGCCGGCCCTCAGCAGATCATCAGGAGCTGCTTTTCCTTTCTTGCAGGGGGGGTTTGTTAGCGTGTTATAACCTTTCAATATGTGGCTTGTGCTTCATTAGTGGTCAAATATGACCTTTGATGAGAGAAATATGATGGGTATAATTAACTCAACAAACATTCTGCCATTTATAAACTCTCCTACTGAGGTAGTACCAACATTATACTGACAGTAGTTGTTAATTAGAAGGGAGGGAATGTAATAAAAAAAAAAGCTCCTGCTAAATTTGGAGTAATTGTTCAGAAACTGAGCCGTTTCTCTGTCAGGGTCCTGCAGCACTCTGTGGATGTGACGGAGGAGGACAGGGGTCCGAGCCACGGCAACAGGATGGAGATGTCCATCTTTTATGTCATCTACTTTGTTGTGTTCCCTTTCTTCTTCGTCAACATCTTTGTGGCTCTCATCATCATCACCTTCCAGGAGCAGGGGGATAAAATGATGGAGGAGTGCAGCTTGGAAAAGAATGAGGTAAAAAGAAGATGACAATAACCATGATTCGAATCATTTTCCCCCACGATTTAGTCCACAGCTATTCAACTGACAGGAAACAAAACTATTATTACTATTTTCTTTTTACTTACTTTAGTATAAAAATAGATTTTTAATCAATTGTCAAGTTTACAGTTATGATTCAGTGCAACAAAATAAACATATTCATAAGATAAAATGTATTGATATTTGTTCCCCTACCATTATCAGTCAAGACCCCACCTCCCTCAGATGTCTGTTGGTTTGAGTAACTGTGGCCCCCTGAGAAATTTAGTTTAATAACCCTGCTTTAGTCATAATTCCTTACTTTTATTGAATGAACTGTAGATTAATCAACTCTAAAAGATCTAAAATGTTCTATTTTGTTCACGTTTTCATGTTTTCCATCTAGTTGCTGTGCCACCAGTGGCTGCATGATTTTTTTCTTGCTCCTACAAATGTGACATTCCTTTCTTTCAGATGTTTCTCTTAATCGTCTTGGCAAAAATCATTTTTCAGTCAGGTTGAAAAAGACAGATATGTGATCAGCGGCTTACAGTCTGTGATGCTGTTTTGGGTTCAGGTTTAAACTCTATCTGGGTCACAATAGCCTTATTTTTGTGGTTTTCCTTGAACTACACATTTTATTTAATGTATTTATTGTTGTCCTGCTGAGAAACAAATTTGTTCACCCAAGTTTATAGTTTTTACTTTGAATTCATTTTAAAGTTCATGTTTTCTCTCTGGGCTGTATTTTTTTTTTTTGAAACAAAAAGTTACTTCCTTTACTACGTTATATTATTATTAGTTTTATTCCTCATATTTTTCTATAAAAAACAGTTTTAACTTTGCTTCATTAGGTAAGAGTGTTTTAATTCTCATGAACCATTTAATTGTTTATTAATAAATATTCACTGTTTTTTTAGCAGGGTGATTTTATAAGTCTTTTCTAAACTTTTATTGTATTATGAAAGAGGCTGGGAAATTTAGCTAATGAAAATTTTGCCTTTTATCCTTCTTGAGTTTTGGGATTTCCCTCTAACAGGAGCCATCAAATATGAGACGTTTTACCAACATGTCAGTGACTTTTTATGGTCTTAAATTCAGTTTGTCAGAAAGAATCAAGTGAGAGAAAAAGAATACAGAAGAGCCCAACTGTAAGCACTATAACAAAGCGTCTGAATAGTTCCTTGATTTTACTTTGTCTCTGTGAGGACAGGTGAGAAAACATTAGAAGTCTTCAAAAGAGCTGTTGATCAGTTAAGCACTGATCTGATGAATGTGTCATTATTACAGTACAGAAAAAAAGTTTGCTGCTTCTTTTAAGATAGTTTGTTTCCTTCTCAAACTTAAATTATCTCTTTCCACTCGTGTGGAAAAAAAAATCTTCCTTTGCGTTATTCACAGATTTCTACCCCTTCATTTGTCTCATTTGTGCTCTTTGTTTTCGGGTTTTAGAGAGCGTGCATCGACTTCGCCATCAGTGCGAAGCCCCTGACTCGTTACATGCCACAGAACCGGCACACGTTCCAGTACCGACTGTGGCATTTTGTGGTGTCACCCTCGTTCGAGTACACCGTCCTCACCATGATCGCTCTCAACACCATCGTACTGATGATGAAGGTGAGAAAAGAGTAACAAAACTCATTTTTGAATGAAGCCAGAACATCAAATCAAGCATCAGACGTCTTGTTTCAGAGTATCACATTAGCACCTGGTGATAAACACAGTTTGGATGGGCTGATGTTTTTCTCCCGCCCGTCCTTCATCAGGATTTATTTCCTGCTCTGGCCTTTTTTTTTTCTTGGGCTCCTCAGACGCAGACAGACAAACGCTGTGTGACTCAGCCCGTATTAAATATTGATCTATAATGTCCAGGCGCGGCTATTTAACATGACCTCATTAACTGTGGCTGTGGGGCCCTGGAGGAATGACTGCTTTTTTTAGCACCACAGATGAGAGGGCAGAGACAGAAGGGCTATTTATGGGTCTGCAGGAATCTTCCATCAACACGTAGATCTGTGGGCCGAAGTTCACGCTTATATCAGAGAAGAAGCCTGATCCAGTCGATTTGGGAATATTCTCTAACCCTCGTGCCAACTTTGTATTTCCAGTATTACTCCGCACCACCAGCATACGACGCTGTCCTGAAGCACCTGAACACAGCGTTTACTGTCCTCTTCTCAATCGAATGTGTCCTCAAGATCCTGGCCTTTGGCGTCCTGGTGAGAGAAAAAGTGACAGAAATCTAAATAAAATAAAATAAAAACTCATTATTAAGACTTTTCAATCATGTTGCAACAGAACTACTTTCGAGACACCTGGAATATCTTTGACTTCATCACCGTCCTGGGCAGCATTACAGAGATCCTGGTCGACTTACAGGTAATCCTACAGAGACGGTGTTAGAGCCTCCTTGTGCTGGAATTGGTTCACGGTTTTAACGGTTTAAAAGGTTTTAAAGGTTTTAATGGTTTTAACGGTTTTCCTCCCCTGGCTCAGCGTATCGACACGTTCAACATGAGCTTCTTGAAGCTGTTTCGAGCGGCCCGGTTGATCAAACTGCTGAGGCAGGGTTACACCATCCGCATCCTCCTCTGGACCTTCGTTCAGTCCTTCAAGGCGCTGCCCTATGTCTGCCTGCTCATCGCAATGCTCTTTTTCATTTACGCCATCATCGGCATGCAGGTAAGAAGTAAAATGACACTGACGAGCGGCTGTGGTGGAGTGGTTAGGGGAGTCGTCCTGGAACCGGAAGCTCGCTGGTTCGATCCCCCGTCCAGTAGTCTCAGTCGTGACTTCACCTGCCTTGATCACCGATGGTGGTCAGAGGGTCCGGTGGCGTCGTTGCATGGCAGCCTCGCTTCTGTCAGTGTGCTCCAGGGCAGCTGTGGCTACAATGTAGCTTACCATCATCACTGTGTGAATGTGAGTGTGAATGGGTGAATGTAAGTGTAAAGTGCTTTGGGGTCTGGAGGGACTTGATAAAGCGCTCTATAAGTTCAGTCCATTTACCAGTCTTTCATGATAAAACCTAAATGTTTGTTTTTAATTCTGCATATTTTGCATGAATCAGGTCTTTGGGAACATAAAGCTGAATGAGGAGACTCACATCAACCAGCATAACAACTTTAAAAGCTTCTCTGGTGCTTTGATGCTGCTGTTCAGGTAGGATCCCAGCGATCTCAGCTTTGTAAAGATTAAGACATTGTTTTTGCATTTTCCTGTATCTTTTCTGCAGCAGTACCTCACAAACAGTGATACCCTAAATCCGATTCATTTCACACAAACCATATCTTCATCATTGTTCCTGTCCTAAATGTAAAGCCCAATAATTAAATACAGAAATAATGAGGAAATAATTAAATCCTAATTTAAAAAATAAAAATATGTTGCTGCTGGTCACCATTTTTAGCTGAGTCTCTTAGTCAATTAGATATAGTACTTCCAGCCTCCACCTGAAGGGGGCAGTAATGTTTCGAAGAAGCAGATCAGGCGTACAGTCGGGTAAATGGCTATGTCCAAATTTGAGGGTTGCATCCTTCGAAGGACCCGGTCTACTTGGTCTAGGTGGGCCAGGTCCTTGGTTGACGCGAAGACTGGAAAAAGTGACTGTGAATTTGGACGGTCTAGCTTCGGCTTTATTCCCGCTCTTACCCTGGCACATGTCCTGTCCTCTAGTGATCGTAACAACATTAAACAGAAGCAAACATAGATTGAAAGTGGGAAAATATTGATGTATTAGTATTGGTAATATTATGAAATAATAAAATTAGCTTAAGGGAATCCACCATACAAGCTCGTTTAAAAATCTTGACCCCAAATGCATTTTTGGACAAGGTGAGTTAAGAAAGATCTGCTGGGCTTATGTCTCAAATTGAGGCAAAAGGAGAACGCATTGTTGGGCCGTAATTGGAGGAGTCTTTGAATTTGGACAGCCTTCGGCACAGAGCATTGACATAAGCTTCCGACAAATTTGGGTGAATGCAGCTCCTGCATTTCATCAGGCGGACGAAGAAGCAGCAGAAGTAGAAACAGTGCAACTGTAAGTTTGAGTTAATTGAAAGGAAGCTCTGTCACCTCACGCACTTTAAATCTAATTTCCCATTCAGCTTCTCCGTTGCCAGATTATTCTTTCTACCCGAGTCCACACACAGACAGGCAGCCATCTTGCTAACCTTGTAGTGGTGGAGAGTGCTACCCTAACATTTTCACTGGCCCTACCTGGCTACTCCTACAAACATTGTCTGTGGATGCCACTGCTCACAAACACTGCTTCCCTTTGTTTCATTGACCCTGCGACCTGATTCTGTTCTGTTTGGTCCTCTACATCACAAAATGTTTTAAACATAGTCAGAGTAATGTTGCTAGGTAGCAGCTTACGCTTCCAGCACCCAAGGGTCTGCTCAGTGTTAAGGGCTAATAGATGCTCTAGTGTACCACTTTTCTCCAACATTGCTTTGTATCCTTTGGGAATCTCAGATCGGTTAAAAAGACATTAAGAAGGTCAAGAAATGAAATGGATGTTATGACCAGGTTATCGAGCGTTTTATTGAGTGTTTGTTTTGTAGAGAGGTTAAAGATTGTTTTTGTAAAAAATAAACTACTTTCAAAGGTGTTAAAAATAGTAAAACATTGAAAAATCTCAACAATCGGCCTGCACTATATGAAATTAAAT